TGTCCTACATTTACCAACAATTGAAGAAAGATGACTGGGGCCATTATAACAAGATGTTTTATTATTAAGTTAAATATTTGATCAAGTTTCCCCGTGATCAAACTTGGACCTAGATATATTAAGACAATGACCACCTGTGCCCAAGGTGGAACTTTCCTTCAACACCAGTGGGGAGGCTGGTGAATTGTAGCTAAATCCAGTGGATAATGCAGAAGAGACCACCGTTACTCATCTTGGAATCTAGTCACTCATTCTGAGACCTTCTACATGGGACCTTCAATGGTTTTATTGAGTAAAAACAAGTATTTTAACTCCACCTGGTCAAGTGTGGTCTCAAGAACATTAAGGTGGAAGTCTTTGTGGCACCCTCTTGACAAATAATGGGTTTCATATGACATATCTGTTAAAGTATAGCACAATACACAGCAAAGTTATTCTCATTCATTCTGTAGTTTGTATAATCAATAAATGAATTTCTCCTAAGTCTGGAAATTGTTACAATTATTATGAAATGGTCAATTGCAATGGGTCAAAACAAAAAAATAAGGAAATTATAAATATACTGAGTACTGTGTCCAAATGGAAAATACCAGATTTTTGTATTTATTGTAAAAAAAAACACTAAATACTTTTTTGAGTGTCTCTCTCTTACAATATACTAGGTTCTGTTACTGGTATGCCTTCAAATACACAATTTATCATCACACAACTGGTCTCACTTTTGAAATTGTTCTCGCCATCCATAGAAATTTTAGTTTAGAATCTCGATATTGTATTGTCTATTTCTCAGTATGCACCTGACTTGCTATTAACTTGTATACCATTAAATATTTTTTCAATTATTTTTACATGTCCAGGATAATCACTTCAGACATGTTAACTGTCCAGACTACCATCAAAATAAGGAGTTTCAGACCACAAGTGGTGTGTGGTCAAATATATTGTAATAAATAACTACTTACAGCTTACGATCACTTTATGCAAATATTTATATCATCTATAGATTAATATACAATTTCCTATTAGGTGTTCTAAAGGTGACAGGCCCTCTTGACAAAGAAATACCTGATTATATTCAAGTTCTTCCAGTGTAAAAAAATGTAACATTTTTTTTTTTTTAAAGTACCGTATTTTTCCATGTATAAAACTGTTTTTTTTAAAATATTTTTTGTCTAAAATTCTGGGTCGTCTTATACACGGAATGTCACTGCAGGGACAGCCAACCAAGCAAGTCATATGTGCCTGGAGCTCCTTCAAAAATCTAATTAGTAAGCAGAATACGTACAACACTTACTCAGCGCAATTTAGGCACAAAACTTGGTTACTCGCTGACTGAACACTCAGCTGACTGTTAGGTTCGCTACTGCCATGTTCTTGCGGGCATAGGCTGTGTTGTACACCTCTGCAATCTGCTGACATACTTGAATTTGATCTTTTGTGTGCGCGGATCTGGGAGATCTTGTGTAACCAAATGCTTCCTCGCATCACTCTCGACCATGCCAAGACCTCACGGCTCCAGACTACAGATAGATGCCTCAGGGTTAGGCCTTGCCCAGACACCCCTATAGGACAGAAGGCATCACTGCCGCCAACAGCAGGATGGCTGTCCAGCAAACCAGTGTCCGGATGTGGCTGGACCTTGGGGAGCGGCCTACCGGAGGGTGAGGGGGCCTGAGACCTGGTGAATCCTGATCAGACAATCTGGACTTCAGTGCTATAGATGTTTAAAATATGTAATTCTTAATTTGAGGTTCCAAAAATATGGGTCGTCTTATACATGGGGGCATCTGATACACAGAAACATACGGTAATTCCATTTTTGCTGCCATCTAGTGTTTAGTTTTGGCATTTCAACCCATAATACTAAAGTAAGGTTAGCAACTGCAATTACAATCTCTGCTTAGATGGGGACAGTGCTATATTTATTGTTGTGATAAATAGGCATGGGGCAAAGATGGCAGCATGGATGGAATTGTATGATACCCTTTTCTTTTTTACAATAGTCAGTTGCTTCTTAAGGAATGTGTGTGTCCCATTATATAGTGCAGTGATTTAAAGTGTAATTGAGAAATTAGAGATTGTTATACAAGATAAGTATAAATATTTATTCTATGCTGTAAGCTTTTCTTTTTGATACAGGATGAAATGCCCAAATTAAACACTAGGTGGCACCACAAATGCAGTAGATTTGTACACTAGATGAACTTGCACATAGATTGTCAGAAATTATTAAAGGCGCATGGACAGTATGGCCTAAATTATGTATTTCCTATTAAAGGACCACTATAGGCACCCAGACCACTTCAGCTTGTGGTCTGGGTGCCAGGTCCATCTAGGGTTAACTCTGCCTGCTGTAAACATAGTAGTTTCAGAGAAACTGCTATGTTTACATATGGGTTAATCCAGCCTCTAGTGGCTGTCTCATTGACAGCCTCTGGAGGCGCTTCCGCGCTTCTCACTGTGATTTTCATAGTGAGAAGACGCCAGTGTCCATAGGAAAGCATTGAAACTATGGACTGGCTGAATGTGCGCCCGGCTCCTGCTGAGCATGCATGACGGCCGAAGGAGGAGATTCCCCAGCGCCGAGGGAGCCCGGCGCTGGTGAAAGGTAAGAATTTAACCCCTTCCTCCCCCTAGAGCCCGGCGGGAGTGGGACACTGAGGGTGGGGGCACCCTCAGGGCACTATAGTGCCAGGAAAACAAGTTTGTGGTCCTTTAATATTTTTATGTTCCAGCTGAAACAGTTTACACTCTTATAGCAATAGTAAATAAAAAAAAACTTAATTTACATTTTATTAGAATGAAAATCATCTATGTTGCCAATATAAGAAGTCCTTTCTGAGATATAAAATATTTACTACAGTATTTCCTTAGTGAAACAGTGACTAGATTACAGGAAGTACAAAACCATTGTTTCAGAATCCCACAGGACTTGTGATTTGAAATATGTAAGATATTTAATAATAAAATGAAAGGAATGTGTGGTATTTTCTGCAACAGCGTAATATTGTTACAGCTTGACAAAGACCCAATTCTGGGTCGAAACATTGCAATGTTCTCTGGGTTCTAATAAATGTGCCTAAGCTATTGGAGTGTCTGGACCTCCACCCTGTTATTGTTAGTAATTCTGTTGGGCTGGTGCTGGCCCATGGTCTAATTTAGCACCTTTTGGCATCTGTGGACAGAGGGCAGCTCCTATTTTGATATTGTGAATAGACTTTATAATAATCTCATTAATTCTCAAGTTGTGCTATGATGCAACATATGTTTGCATAGTATATACTTTTATAGTCATTTTGTAGACAGTTTTTTTTTGCTATACAACAGGCATTTTAATCTGTGTTAAAGGGGCAATCTAATATAATTTAATATATAAAATATTTAATATAGGCAATATACATTTAATTTCTTAAAAGAAGCACGATCAGTAAAGATTGCAAATATATATATATACACAAATAATAAAATATGCCCTTTTATCATTATTGATCCATGATGCCTGAATTTTATGATTTGTCTGCCTGCTTTACTCGGACATTATGCACCGTAGCTGAACACAGATTTACAGGGTTATTAACTAACGTGAGAATTCAATTTGAATTCAAAGTGCATTTAAATCTTAGGTTAAAATAGCTGAACTGGAAATATTCTGTAATATAGCTACTTTGGCTTTAAATTTAAAATTCCCATTGAATTATCATATTAGTTAATATCCCTGATAGTTTAGTGAGACACTAAGGTTTCTCTTTGCCTTTTCTCGTGTCTCCCTACTTGTTATATTAAATGCAATCAAATGAACAAACTGACAAGTCCTATAAGTTTTATATAGATTTTAATAAAACGATGGAGGCAGTAGACACACACATTTCTGGTTTCCTTATAAAAGTATTAATGATGACCATTATTATCACAGATATATTATTAGTTGTATAAACTTGATTTTATAATTTCAAAGAGCCTTGTTATCTCAATGTCAACATTTTGACCATGCTGTGACTTTCATTAATATAAATTCAAACATTGATCATGCAAAATTATTGTCATCTCATTTATGATGACCGGCGTCATTTGGATAGTTTACGTAATTAGTTTATGATTTCAGGTTAGGAATACAGGAGGAAGTGTTAGAGACAACCTCAGAATTATCGCTCTACTTCATGACATATAATGAATTCTAAATGACCTATTTTACACCTTCTTTTTGGTACACTCCATATTGAAGTGATTTTATGTTGCGGTTGATATTATACACCTGAATTTATAATGCTTTATTTTAACACTATGTCAGATTCAAAGTAAAACCCATGTTTGCAGGAGCAGATTACAAGTAGAATTCATTAAAGAAAACTTTAGGGAAGCTTGGCACTCGGCAAATCTGTCAAAAAATGATTGGTAAGTCAGAGTTACCTTTTTTTTTTTAAGCTTCACTAAAACACAAAGGTTAGCAGATGATGACTAAACAGCAACAAAATCATTCTTGGAAAGCCAGAGTCATCTTTTTGGATAAGCTTTGCCAAAACACAAAGGCAAGCTAATGATGACTTCAAATCAAAATTGTATTTTCACCCCACACAGTCCAATTATATGCATACCATGTGTGTCAAAAATGAGTCTCTATGCCATGATTTTTATGATGAGAGTGGTAGCAAGGAATGGGGGCAGTAACCAGCGGAGATCAGAACTGACGATACGGTCAGATGTGGAAGGTGGTGGGCTGCTTGTTAGATGTATTGCACTAGAACAGGAAATTCTCAAACGTGTGTTTGAACCACTGAAGTTGAAACTTTCATTACTGAAGGTGCAAATGGATTCTGTGGCACAACCATCTATATAAAAAGCAAATGATGGTGCAACTGAAAGAAAAAAAGAAGCAAAGTTATAAAACCATTGTAAAAATAAAATGCGTTGCTCTTTTTTCCCCCTACTATTAATTATGACATTTGGGGTTCACTAGACCCTCCAAACACAAGAAGGAAGCATCAAGGTCATAATTTCCTGGCATGTTAAAGAAAACACTAAACCCTGCCAGTGATGTCCCCATAACTAACCATTTAGTGCCAGGACATGCTCAATCCATCACTGTTCCCATAACTAACCCAATAGTGCCAGGACATGCCCAATCCATCGCTGTTCCCATAACTAACCCAATGGTGCCAGGACATGCCCAGCCCATTACTGTTCCTATAACTAACCCTATAGTGCCAGGACATGCCCAGTCCATTACTGTTCCCATACCTAACCCAATGGTGCCAGGACATGCCCAATCCATTACTGTTCCCATAACTAACCCAGTGGTGCCAGGACATGCCCAGTCCATTACTGTTCCCATAACTAACCCAGTGGTGCCAGGACATGCCCAGTCCATTACTGTTCCCATAACTAAGCCAGTGGTGCCAGGACATTCCCAGCCAAGTACTGTTCCCATAACTAACCCTGTGGTGCCAAGACATGCCCAGCCAATTACTGTTCCCATAACTAACCCTGTGGTGCCAGGACATGCCCAGTCCATTACTGTTCCCATAACTAACCCTGTGGTGCCAGGACATGCCCAGCCAATTACTGTTCCCATAACTAACCCTGTGGTGCCAGGACATGCCCAGCCAATTACTGTTCCCATAACTAACCCTGTGCTGCCAGGACATGCGCAGTCCATTACTGTTCCCATAACTAACCCAATGGTGCCAGGACATGCCCAGTCCATTACTGTTCCCATAACTAACCCTGTGGTGCCAGGACATGCCCAGCCAATTACTGTTCCCATAACTAACCCTGTGGTGCCAGGACATGCCCAGCCAATTACTGTTCCCATAACTAACCCAATAGTGCCAGGACATGCCCAGTCCCTTACTGTTCCCATAACTAACCCAATGGTGCCAGGAAATGCCCATTTAATTACTGTTCCCATAAGTAACCCAATGGTGCCAGGACATGCGCAGTCCATTACTGTTCCCATAACTAACCCAATGGTGCCAGGACATGCCCAGTCCATTACTGTTCCCATAACTAACCCTGTGGTGCCAGGACATGCGCAGTCCATTACTGTTCCCATAACTAACCCAATGGTGCCAGGACATGCCCAGTCCATTACTGTTCCCATAACTAACCCTGTGGTGCCAGGACATGCCCAGCCAATTACTGTTCCCATAACTAACCCTGTGGTGCCAGGACATGCCCAGCCAATTACTGTTCCCATAACTAACCCAATAGTGCCAGGACATGCCCAGTCCCTTACTGTTCCCATAACTAACCCAATGGTGCCAGGAAATGCCCATTTAATTACTGTTCCCATAAGTAACTCAATGGTGCCAGGACATGCCCAGTCCATTATTGTCTCCATAACTAACCCTGTGGTGCCAGGACATGCCCAGTCCACTACTGTTCCTATAACTAACCCAATGGTGCCAGGACATGCCCAGTCCATTACTGTTCCCATAACTAACCCTGTGGTGCCAGGACATGCCCAGTCCACTACTGTTCCTATAACTAACCCAATGGTGCCAGAACATGCCCAGTCCATTACTGTTCCCATAACTAACCCTGTGGTGCCAGAACATGCCCATTCCATTATTGTCTCCACGAGTAACTCGATAGTAACAGATGATTCCCATTCCTTCCTATTACTGACCTCCCCTTAGTACTAGATATTTCAAAATCACTACTATTTATTATTTATTTATCACTGGCATTTATAAAGTGCCAATATATTCTGCATATAAGCCTACCTTTGCCACTAAATATATTTGGGGTTTCTTCCCGAACATTTCCCTGTATATCAGAAGGCAACCAGGTGGTGTTTTTTCTAAAACTCACAGAACTCAAACTCCCATGATGCTTAGACAGTGGATCTTAGGAAAATTGTCAACACAGGACGAGATAGTTTTTCGTAGGATGTCATGTCATCCTAGCACGGAAAGAATTATCCAAAGTACTCGGGTAAAATTACACATAAAGCTATAAAATATATTAGTTGGCGTATTGGCAATAAAACACATACAGAATATGCATGGTGACACAATTGAAAAAACAAATATACAATCAGTTCCATGCCTGATTGCATAGTAATTGTGGTACTCACGTAAAAATCTTGCAAAAAATAATAAACATCAAATATATATATATAGTGACCAGGGACCATATAGCCACACAGTCTTAAGGATAGGAATATCACACAAGTTATATTTGTTTAGTAAATGCTGTCTTTTTATTAATAGGTCTGGCGATTAAACAAAAATAAAAACAAACAAAAAGAAAAAGCCTCGCTCCTCTAAGCACTAACTGACACTTGTTACTAACTACAGTTGTGCGCTGCCAACAATACAAAACACAAATTTGAGCACAGATCTTTTTCAAATGTAAATGTTTTATATATATAATATAGAGCTAGCCAGAAAAATGTATACACATTTCAGCAAAAAACAAACCTATGTAAATATTTTAATACTAAATTCGTTTACATGTTACCTTTAACCTTTACGATTACTAGAGGTGCTCAAAGTGGTTCCCTGGAATCGATTATGGAAGAGACTTAATACTCTTCTTGTCCAGAAATAACCAACGGGGGAGGGGGAGCACTTGGGACAGTATATCTATTGCAAATGAGTGGTTTAAGCAAAGAAATATGACAGGTATTAGGAATACGCAAGGAGGACCTACGAAATGGACCAAGGAATCTGGGAGCAAACTTCATGCTAGGAACTTTCAGTTTGATGTTACACAATGATGACGACACCCTCTCATCCACTTGGTAAACAGGGTTGGCACCCCGCCGCTTATCAGCATAAAATTTGAAACGGTCAGCCGCACTTTCTAGAGCAGAGCGAACTTGGGTCCAAGTATCACGAATAGAAGCAAGGTGATCATCCAAAGCAGGGATAGCCATGTCAGAAAAAGCAGCCGGCAAAACAGTAGGATGATGACCGTAATTAACAAAGAATGGACTATGTCCAGAAGAGTCATGGTTTGCATTGTTCCTAGCAAATTGGGCCCAGGGTAGTAACTCGGACCAATTATCTTACATGCCATTGACAAAACAACGCAAATATAATTCCAATGACTGGTTAGCCCTATCAGCCATGCCACTGGTTTGGGGATGGTAAGAGGAAGAAAATGACAATTCAATGCCCAACTGTTTATTGAAAGCCCTCCAAAACCGAAACACAAACTGAGAACCCCTGTCAGATACAATATTGTGAGGAATTGGACAATTTCTCAAATATGGCAACTTTTTGAGTGGAACGAAATGAGCCATCTTGGAAAAGCAGTCAACCACCATAAGGATGGTGATATAGCCATTAGAACTAGGAAGTTCTACGATGAAATCCAAGGACATATGGGACCATGGAACACTAGGAACGGGAAGTGGATGCAACAATCCACATGGATGTTTATAAGGTACCTTAGAAACTGCACAAACTGAACAGGCCTGTACATATTCCTTAACATCTTTCATGAGAGAATCCCACCAAAATGATCTCATGATCGCGGATATGGATTTATTAATGCCTGGATGTCCAGCCGTCACGTTGTTGTAGAACACCCTTAATGATATTCTCTCTTTCAACCAATGGAACAAATAATTTATCTAGTGGTTTATTGCATGGTGCCTGAGACTGATAGCACCAAGCAGAGGGGAAGATAATGAAAGAACAGTGGAAGCAATGATACACTCAGGTGGAACAATAGGGGATGTCTCTTGTTCTTGTACTGATTCAGTGTCAAACTGTCTAGATAAGGCGTCCGCTTTCATGTTTTTGGGACCAGGTCTGTTAGTTATTAGAAAGTTAAAGCGAGAAAGGAACAAAGACCATCTAGCCTGTCTAGTAGACAGTTGTTTATCAAGCCCTATGTATGCCAAATTATTGTGGTCAGTAATGATCAAAAGGGGGTCCTTGGAACCCTCTAAAAGATGTCACCACTCTTTAAGCGCTTGTATAATGGCCAACAATTCCCTGTTGCCAATATCACAATTACGCTCAGCAGGAGACAACTTTCTAGAGAAGTACCCACATGGATGCAAAGGGGTATCCTGACTCTCCCTCTGAGAAAGAACAGCCCCCACCCCAGTTTCGGAGGCATCAACCTCCAGTATGAAGGTTTTGCTAGTGTCAGGATGTACCAAAATGTCAGCTGAAGCAAACAATTTTTTAAGAAGTTCAAAAGCTTCTCTAGCTTCCATAGACCATATCGTACTACTAACCCCCTTACGTGTCATATTGGTGATGGGGGCTATCACAGAAGAGAACCCTTTGATAAATCTCCTGTAATAATTAGCAAACCCAATAAACTTTGGATGGCTTTTAGTCTGTTGGGCAATGGCCAATGCAGAACAGCCTCCAGTTTATGAGGAACCATCTGAAACCCAAAGGCAGAGATGTTATACCCCCAAAACTGTACTTCAGTCTGGTCAAAGATGCATTTTTCAAGTTTGCAATAAAGTTTATTTTTAAGTAAAGTTTGCAACACTTGTTTGACATGTTTGTGGTGAGTCTGAAGATCAGGGGAATAAATAAGGATATCATCCAGGTATACTAGGACAAATGTACATCATTAATAAAGTCCTGGAACACGGCCGGAGCATTGTATAACCTGAAGGGCATGACAAGGTACTCATAGTGCCCACTTCTAATGTTAAATGCAGTTTTCCACTCATGACCTTCCTTAATTTTTACCAAATTGTATGCACTCCTGAGGTCAAGTTTAGTAAAGACTTTAACACCCTGGGGTCTGTCGAACAATTCGGAAATAAGGGGAATGGGGTAGGCATTTTTAATGGTGATCTTGTTTAATGCCCTGTAGTCAATGCATGGACGAAATTCTCCATTTTAGATACAAAAAAGAACCTTACTTAGGGAATCTTTGATGTACTCATCCATTAAAATTTACCTTTTATCCGGCACAGTATTGGTCCGCCGCAGCAGGTCCCTCCCTTACTTGGCTGACATCATCAATCTTGATGATCTCAGTCAATCAAATTCTTTCCCATAGGAAAGAATAGTTAGGCAATTGCGCATGCACGACAAAATACTGCACTGCGTCAATTAGCATCTCTTCATAGAGGTGCATTGAATCAATGCATCTTTATTGGGAAAGTTCAGCACCTCCATGCAGAGTGTGGAGGCGCCTAATGTCAGTGCTGCACATTGTTCAGCACTGACCTAGGAAGCACCTCTAGTGGCTGTCTGAGTGAAGACCACTTGAAGTGTATCTAGGCAGTAATGTAAACAATGCCTTTTATCTGTAAAGGCTGTGTTAATGTTAAAATGCCTGCAGGGAGGGGCTACAGATAACAGAGCAACTACATTAAGCTGTAGCTGTTCTGGTGACTATAGTGTCCCTTAAAATTCATCCCCCTTTGCAAGGCAAAGCAATTGATAGAAGGTCCATCTAAGAAATTTGTTTCTCTTGCAGGAGAGTGTACTGGAGCTGCAATCCTGAGATATCTCTATGGGATATACCTAGCTGGGATCCTCTGAAGCTGCAGAACAGGCTGTTAATTGGTTATAGCTCATTCCCCTCTGTAACTGATCGACACACACATCTGGGAGTCAACTGATATTTATTTGGCCACAGACGGCTTTTTATCCACAGCCCCATAGTATGGGGTCTCAAAAGCAATTTTACAGGGGTTTTTCCCAATAGTCTCTGGATCTGAGAGATAATTGAGCTGAGAAACATGATAACTCAATTATCTCTCAGTTACAGGGAATAACACAAAATATCAAAATCACCTGAAAAACATAATATTACAGGAACCCCACAATTCTTGTATCCCCGAAAAGCCTGCGTCCGAGCGTCCAACATATCCTAAAAGCACTCAGATCGGTTTGGTGAAACGTGATCGCTATTTGGGAGAAGTTTGACTGGATGGCCACGAGCTGATGCCCTAATAGAGTTCCACATAATTCAAGGCAGCGGTCACTTTCTGTTCATGAATTCCTGTACGAACACCGACCAACGCTCCCCCTGGCTCTTAGGTAGTGAATGCTCTCCCAAGTCAGTAGATCCTATCTCTCGAAATTGATTCGTCTAGTTGGTCGGGAAAGTGTACGGGCAGCAGTACCATCCTTGCTGAGGATCGCAAGCGTGTGTAGCCAAAATGAGTTCCATGCGATTGATGACCAAGTACCGCTTCTCGTGTTCGGGAGACGAAATGGTCACCAAACACTGGACCACGTGCATTCGGTTATATGCATGGCAGCCACCCAGGGAAAGCACTCAAGTTAATTCTTTCTGTGGTTAGCAGCCAGGGGTGGTTCGTGTTCTGAGTTAATTAAAGAGAAGGACCACACAAGTTCTGTTCGGTCCATGAACAGGGAAATACGGGATTGTACAGGAAAAATATACATATGGGTTTGTGCAACACAGGAATGATGGCAGGCCCACCACAGAGTAAAGGATGAGATGAGAAAGGGATTTGTCATATATTTATTTGCATGCAGTGCATAACTCTCTGCCAATAATGATACAATATTACCTGTGAACTCTAAGGTGGCACAAGTACTCTCATTATCAGTACATTCAATGGTTCCAGAAGGGTTACATCCTGGCTGTGTGCACCAGGGGCACGTTAATCCATTCTTCACAGAGCGGATGGCAGGCACTGTAGGTTATCAAAGATCAACATGTTAATTCAAGC